ACATGTCTTTTAAATTCTTCTCTAAGATAAATATAATAATTACTAATAACTAATAAAATACAAATATCGAAATAATACTAAGTTAAAATAATAAACTAATAAAATAAAACTGTTCTATAACAATATGACAAGTACGCCACATGTTATGAATGTTATATATGAAACTATACTGCGAAATTATTTCAAGTAATTGATTTAAATCAGCCAAATAAAAGTCACTGGAAGTCACTAGACATTATTTGAACTTCTATTCCAGTGATCTTCACTGGAATGGTCCCATAACATTCAATCCAGTTAAGTCCAGTGATCTTTTAGTTTTAGTAATTTTTACTGGATCATTCTAGTTAACAACACCAACCCGGACAACTGATTTATATTAGCCAATTAGATAAATTTATCCCTAAAGCAATTGCGTAATTTGATTAGCTATCTGTATACTGCAGCATTAAAAAAAATTTGGGGTTTTAATTTTTTTTAACCTGGCAGGATATGAAAACTAGTTTTTTTTTTGCATCGCTTTATATAAAAAAATATCAAGTAATTATAATATTTAGATTTGATATTTTGCTATATTAAGAAGTTGCTAAGCTAACTTAAAAGAGTTTGTCAAACTATCATCCTACAATATATAGTTATTGGATAGGGTTTCAAAAATATGCACGTAGGTACCTAATGGCAACAGGTGATTGGCGCAGATCATGCCGCACAGCAGCATGATCTGCACCAAGTGCTTGTTGCTATTAGGTACCCACGTGAATATTTTTAACCCTATTCAATAACGGTATTATCGTATAGTAGTTATTAATAATTATACTATTACGTCATATCAGTATAGTTTATTTCATTAAATAAAAGTGTATTCTTTCGAAAAAAACTTTTTTTTTAAATTTTCTTTTGATTTCATTTATTTTTAAAATGGCTAAAAATAAAAAAGAGAAAATTTATTAAAAACCTACCGAAGAACAATTGCAGTATCTGCGTAATAAGTCTAAGGTTTTAAATACACAAAGATCTACACAAAATTGAATACTCAAATTTCAGAAATATAGATTGGATGTTGGATTAGAAGGCGTACCAGAAGATATCAACGAAGCTTCAAAGCTAAAAATGGAACTTTGCGACTATTTTACAGTAACTAAAAAAGAAGATAGATCTTTATATTCAGTATCATCACTATTAGCTGCAATTTGGGCAATTAAGAGATTCTACAATTCAAGTACAAGCAAAATTAAACCAGTTAACTTGTGTAATTGGCAAGCATTTCCAAATCTATAGGAAATACTTGTCGCAGATTAAAATAAAATCTGATCAAAATGAAACTGGGGACCTCTCATACCCACCCTTAGAGCATATAAAACCCACATATACTTATTTATTAATAAACCTAACCCTAAACCCTACCCCTAATGCTAAAAAGAACCTCAAAAAATGTCACTCAAAAAATTTTAAATTTTTCTTAAAAAACAGAAAAATTTCGTTTTGATCAAATTTCATTTTAATCTGTAATAATACTTGATGGAAAAATTAAAGATCTTTCTGAAAAAGGTTATAGTGAAACTAATGGATCTGATTCATTGTCAATTGAAGAAATTCAACAAATTTTACAACATGAAGCAACATCAAAAGATACACCAGATGGATTACTAAACCGGGTTTTCTTTTACAATGCTATTTTTATAGCTTTACAAAGTGATGAGCACTATACTTTAATGGCCAATCATTTTCAAAAAAGAAAAAATGGTGGCTTTGATGTTTTTATTTATAAATCTAAAACAAATCAGCATGGGTTAAAAAATCTTGGTTCTGCAGATAAGATTTCAATCTCTACAGAAAACCTTGAAATTATTGCCAACTATGAAAAATATTTTTTAAAACGTCTAATTGATGCTGATCCTAAATTTTATTTGCAACCTATTGATACAAAATCAGCTTCAGGTATTTTATTTGTATTATTAATTATTAATCTATTTATTTAAAATACTCATAAATTATTTTATAGATTATTCAGCAATTAACGTATGGGATAAGAAAAGTCATCTTGAACAAATTAAACTTAAAAATTTTATGAGAACGCTTGCTGAAAAAACTGGAATCAATTGTGATAATTGTAAAATTACTAATCAGGCTGGGCATAAAACTCTTGTATAATATTTAAAAGATATTGGTACTACAGACTATGAAGTTTCAACAATTACTAGACATCGTTCTCTGTCTTC